CCCAGGTGCGCTCACCTGTCCCCCCTCACCTGCCCCCCCTCACCTGCCCCAGGTGCGCTCACCTGCCCCAGGTGCTCTCACCTGCCCCAGGTGCCCTCACCTGTCCCAGGTGCGCTCACCTGCCGGCCAGCAGCAGCTGCCGCGGCCCCGCCCCCGGCCGAAGCTTCTGGAAGACGTCGAGCGTGAAGAGCGCCCCGGCGCTGGCGAAGATGGAGGCCAGCGATGACATCAGCGCGGCCAGCACCACGGCCAGCATCAGCCCCCGCAGCCCTGCCGCGCGAGCCCCGTTATTAGCGCTAATAGCCGAAGTGACGGGGCTAATAGCCACAATAACGGGGCTAATAGCCAAAATAACGGGGCTAATAGCTAAAATAATGGGGCTAATAGCCAAAATAACGGGGCTAATAGCTAAAATAACGGGGCTAATAGCCAAACAATGGGGTTATTAGCCAAAAAACGCGGAGTTATTAGCCCAAAAAACGGCGTTATTAGCGCTAATAGCCAAAGTGACGGGGCTAATAGCCAAAATAATGGGGCTAATAGCCGAAAAACGCCATTATTAGCCAAAAACGCAGAGTTATTAGCCAAAAAAATGGATTTATTAGCGCTAATAGCCAAAATAACGGGGCTAATAGCCAAAATAATGGGACTAATAGCCAAAAAACGCCGTTATTAGCAAAAAACATGGAGTTATTAGCCCAAAAAATGGCGTTATTAGCGCTAATAGCCAAAATAACGGGGCTAATAGCCAAAATAACGGGGCTAATAGGCAAAATAACAGGACTAATAGCCAAAAAACTCACTAATAATGGCTAATAACTCACGAATAATGGCTAATAACTCACTAATAATGCTAATAACTGCTAATAACGCAGTAATAATGGCTAATAACTCACTAATAATGCTAATAACTCACTAATAATGCTAATAACTCACTAATAGTGGCTAATAACTCACTAATCACCACTAATAACTCACTAATAATGCTAATAACGGCTAATAACTCAGTAATAATGGATAATAACTCAGTAATAATGGCTAATAACTCGCTAATAGTGGCTAATAACTCACTAATAACGGGTAATAACTGACTAATAACTCATTAATAACTGGCTAATAGTGGCTAATAAGCACTAATCAGCCCCCAATGGCGGCGGGCGCTCACCGGGGGGCAGCAGGCTGAGCACCAGGCGCGGATACGCCACGTTGGAGCAGCTGAGGGCGGAGCCGCAGGCCCGGGAACAGCCCTGGGGGTCAGCGCAGCCCACGACCTCTGCGGGAAACCAGTTCACACCAGTTCAGACCAGTTCAGACCAGTTCAGACTGGTACAGACCAGTTCACACCACTTCACACCAGTTCAAACCAGTTCAAACCAGTATAAACCAGTACATGCAGCTGTAACGGGGCGCCATATTGGGCGGCCATCTTGGGAGCTCCCATGGGTGCCGCCATTTTGGGCGGCCATTTTGGGCGGCCATTTTGGAAACTCAGATGGGGGCGGCCATTTTGGGCGGCCATTTTGGGGAAATCCCTTCAGCTGGAATAGAAACCAGTACAAACCAGCACAAACCAGCACAAACCAGCACAAACCAGTACAAACCAGTACAAACCAGTACAAAGCAGCCGAGACACTGACCCGGGAAGAGGACGCGGGCGGCCATGCCGGGCAGCACCATCAGGAACATGGGCAGCACCTTGAGGTAGCCGCAGACGACGCAGCCGGCGCGGACGTGCGTGAGGGAGCGGCCGGCCAGGCAGCGCTGCACGATCACCTGCGGGGGCGGGGCCAGGGCCCGGGTCACTGACCGGTCACTGGCCAGAATAAACCAGTATAAACCAGTATAAACTGGTATCAACCAGTATCAACCAGTATAGACCAGTACAAACCAGTCTCACCTGGTCAGTGCACCAATACCAGGCGGAGATGATCCCCAGTATAACCAGACCAGTATAAACCAGTATAAACCAGTACAAACCAGTCTCACCTGGTCGGTGCACCAGTACCAGGCGGAGATGATGTATAAACCAGTATAAACCAGTACAAACCAGTATAAACCAGTCTCACCTGGTCGGTGCACCAGTACCAGGCGGAGATGATCCCCAGTATAACCAGACCAGTATAAACCAGTATAAACCAGTACAAACCAGTCTCACCTGGTCGGTGCACCAGTACCAGGCGGAGATGATGTATAAACCAGTATAAACCAGTATAAACCAGTACAAACCAGTCTCACCTGGTCGGTGCACCAGTACCAGGCGGAGATGATCCCCAGTATAACCAGACCAGTATAAACCAGTATAAACCAGTTTATCCCAGTCTCACCTGGTCGGTGCACCAGTACCAGGCGGATGATGATCCCCAGTATAACCAGACCAGTATAAACCAGTATAAACCAGTTTATCCCAGTCTCACCTGGTCGGTGCACCAGTACCAGGCGGAGATGATCCCCAGTATAAACCAGTACAAACCAGTATAACCAGTCTCACCTGGTCGGTGCACCAGTACCAGGCGGAGGTGATGTATAAACCAGTACAAACCAGTATAAACCAGTACAAACCAGTCTCACCTGGTCGGTGCACCAGTACCAGGCGGAGATGATGTACAAACCAGTACAAACCAGTATAAACCGGTTTATCCCAGTCTCACCTGGTCGGTGCACCAGTACCAGGCGGAGATGATCCCCAGCCCCAGCAGCAGCCCCGGCCAGGGCAGGTCTCCGGAGCCGGGGTCCCGCAGGAGGTGGAAGGCGTCGGGCCGGGGGCGGCCGCAGGGCCCCGAGGAGTTGGGGGGCAGGGCCAGGGGGTAACGCTCCCGCAGGCCCTGGAGCCCGCCCACGGCGCCCAGCGCTGCCGGAGCGGACCAGTATAAACCAGTACGGACCAGTATAAACCGGTATAAACCGGTATGGGCCAGTACGGACCAGTACGGACCAGTATGGACCAGTACAGACCAGTACGGCACCACAGTGCTGCTTCCCAGTCCCTCCCAGTCCCTCCCAGTTTATCCCAGTCCCTCCCAGCCCCTCCCAGTCCCCT